AACATTAATGGAAGATACAGTTGTTAACTATTCCTCAGTTTGGTTTGGCAAGCTCCTGTCTGAGTGTAATTGCAGTGTTAATTCTCTCAGCCATTTTAATGTCTCTGACACCACAGAGGATGAACAGTTTCACTTGTATTCCTGCTGCAATTACTGAGAGGTTGTAGCCATTACATTAAGAAAAATTATTTGCTTTATGTACTTGTCTGTATATGGTTTTTGAGAGCAGGAGAAAATACCACCAGGTGATTATGATAAAAACCATGGAGGTCAGGGGCTGTTCTGCATGGCAACAATGAGTTCACTGACAAAGCGAGCTGAGGATAAATTCAACATTTATTTCTGATGTCAGGAGTGGTTTTAGCTCAGCTCTGCCTGAAGTGGTGTTGGTGTGGATGAGGTACCCCACAGACACACACTCTGCACGAGATGCAATGAGGCTGATTTTGGGTAAATGGCACCACACACAGACAGTTCTAGTACCTAGTCTAAGTGAAAGGTCACTTAGATTGGTTTAGTCACAAGTGGTAGAATAAAATATCTGGAACATTATACAGAGAAGGAAAAAAAGGCAAGTAGGAAGGGGTAAAGGATGAGGTAGATATTTTACATAAGATTGAAATTACTTCAGTCAGTCCAAGATTTGAAGCCAGCCTCAAAAGCAATGTTAAGCTTGCAGTCTGCTTCAGCGGGGAGCCTGTGAACTGGAAGGTGCATGTGAAAATGCAAGGAATAATTGGGGACACAATGATGAGAAAAAACCCAAAACCAAAAAGCAAAACAAGAAAACCAACCAACCAAACAAACAAACCCAAAAAAACCCCCACCAAAAACAACAAAGAAACAAAACAAACAAAACAAGACAAACAAAACCCACAAAAAACCAAGGCAAAACTAGAAGTGTCCAATACATAAACAGGACGTGCAGTTTGTGACAGTTTGCCTTGTGAGTGATACACATCTACCTCTATATGAACTGCCAATGCAAACTTCACCAACAGAATTTGTTCCTTTAAAAAAAAAAAAACACTCTGGAGACTGAGAGAGGAATTAGAGGGTGGGGAAAGTGGAATTTGTTGTCTAAAAATACTTTCACAGATCAGTGAATATTTTAGCTTTCACAGGCTCAATTCCCATTATGAAATATAATAGAACAATATTTTTTTTCATTTTCTTAGTACACAAGAACTATCAAGAGAATGAAAAATACTAGATAATATTAAACCAACATAAATTTTCAGAATTGGGATAACATTTTTTTTCCAACAGGTAGCTTGAATTCTTTGGCACTGCACAGCATTTTTAATAAAATAATTAAATATTAGAGGTGGGTCTTTAAGGAAGCTGTTAGTTAATTTTACTTTTGCTCTGTTCAACCCTAATTTGGCCCCATCTTTCATTGCTAACTTTTATGTTCTGTGCCTTCTTATGCCCTCTTTTCTTTAAATGCAAAGTATTTCCTTGAAAAGGACTTCCATACAAGCACACAAAAGTATTCAGCTGCTTAATTTATCTTCTGACAAAATCCAACAACTCCATTCAGGATCAGAGCCCTTTTTTTGCTACTGACTAAAGAGGATGACACAGTCCTCTCTCTGTGAAGGTCGTGGTTTAAGTGCCTGATTTCCTGAATACTGTATGAAAGAAGGATGATGAACTTAGCTGTTATCAGCTACTTTGTGTGAGGAAAGGTGCAAGATAAAGAGGAACTTTTCATGCCTGATCTCCTTTCATTATCTGTTGTGTTAAACTGCACTGAGCAGTCCCCGAGAAGCCCAATATTTAATGCATTGGCTACAGCAGCACTGGGCAATAGATTTATAAAGTGATAAGGTAGACACAGTTTACTTGCTGTAAATATGTATAATGCAAAGAAACACGTCCATTTATCACTTCTACCAGTATGAACTCCTGCAGTGCAAAAAGAAATTAAAACAGCCATAGAAGAATGGGAAGTTTGAGCAGGAACTATGTTTTCAGGGATGTATAATCTACAATGTGTGTTTTAAGGTTCCAAAAATACCAATAATCACTAAAAAAATGATTTTTTCATCACTAATGAAGCATGATTTTTTAACTGTAGATAAATAGGAAGAAATAAACCAAAACCTAATTGAAGGGTTTATTAGATCTGGATGTTTCATAAAGTTGAAATTTAAAACGCTGAAAAAGGGAAGAGAATGCAAGTAATCCAAGGAATAAAGAGAATATTTACTCAACAAGATTGGTTTAATGTGTGTTTTCTTTTCTGTTGTTTTCTTATTTTAATACATATATATCATTTTTTAAAATGTCATGTTTGCCATATAAAGTCTGCCAACTTAGGGATCCACAATTTCCTTCTAGGTTTAATGTCACTTCACTGTAATTTTTCTGTATTTTCAAACAGTTTCATTTTGTGTGCTCATTAAAGCAATTATTTCTTTGCCTCCAAAGGAATTTGAAAATGCTGGTTAGCATCAGCACTTGCTAAGCAAGTTATTAGATTATTCTTCCTATTCTCTTCCAAAGGCATGTAGGTATACTTCAGTTATTTAAAATACTTGTGTCAGTGCTCTCACATTATTCTGTGTAAAATGTGAAAACAGCACATTTTCACACTGATACACTTTTGCAGAACCGACATTTGTGAAACTGTATTTATATGTTCTCTACATTCTTCTGTCCTATTGGTGTTAAAAAGGTGCAAGGGATCCTTTGTACTATTCCTGTCATAATTTCTGATTTCAGGAAAAAAAGGTGTAAACTGAGACTGTCAGATCCTCAATGAGAGCATGTAAATGGGATATATAGGTACCTCAAAAAGGTATAAATTTAGGTATAAAGGTATAAATTTATACCTTTAAATTCTTTCACTGTCTCCTGAGGAAACTGAAACTTATTTTACTAATACCAATGTTACTTTTTTCCCAAATTATCACTATTGAAATAGTAAACTGATATAGAAACTCTGAAATATAATATATTCAGTATAAAATTTTGTCCAAAAAAAATGAAATATAGAAAATCAAATGCAGTCTTTACATTGCTAGTAAGATTCTGGAACTGGAATTCACTCATCCTTGAGTTCATCATACACAATTTATCCTGAGAATGCTGCAGGCTCCCAGGTTTGATGACCTGCTTCACTTTAAGAAAACCTTTTCCAGTGTTCCAAATAAATATGACTAAATATAATGAAGGATATGTGGCAGCTCTGTAAGAAGACACAATCCATACTAATTCATTAATATTCAAATTCAAAATCCAACCCGTGTCTGACAATGGGCCACACAAAACTTGGTGTCTGTCCCTGACACCGATTGTTGCTCCTGGCATAATTAAGATTGCCTCTGGCAATTAATCACCTTGCATGCCAACAAACAGTGCATTTATCTTCATTAGCCTCCTGCACGGGAGCCTGCCCTTTGTGCTGTGGGGCAGGAGCTCCAAACACCCAGCTAGCTGCTGAAGGGACGAGGACTGCCTGGAAGGGAAGAGGATTCCATGGAAGGGAGGAGAATTCCATGGACGCGATGAGGATTCTATGGAAGGGACCTGGATTCCATGGAAGCGACAAGGATTTAATGGAAAGAATGTGGGTTCCGTGGAAGGGAGGAGGATTTCATGGAAGGGACCTGGATTCCATGGAAGGGAGGAGGAGTCCATGGAAGGGATAAGGATTCCATGGAAAGAATGTGGATTCCATGGAAGGGATGAAGATTCCATGAAAGGGAGGAGGATTCCATGGAAGGGAGCTGGATTCCATGGAAGAGACCTAGATTCCATGGAAGGGACACAAATTCCATGGGAGGAATGCAGATTCCCTATAAGAGACACAAATTCCATGGAAGGGAAGCAGATTCCCTATAAGGGGGACATTTCCCTATAAAGGACACAGATTCCGTGGAAGGGATAGGGATTCCATGGAAGGGATAAGGATTCCATGAAAAGAATGTGGATTCCATGGAAGGGATGACGATTCTATGAAAGGGAGGAGGATACCATGGAAGGGAGTCGGATTCCATGGAAGACATGGGGATTCCATGGAAGAGACCTAGATTCCATGGAAGGGACGCAGATTCCATGGAAGGGACACAGATTCCATGGAAGGGAGACACATTCCCTGTAAGAGACACAAATTCCATGGAAGGGAAGCAGATTCCCTGTAAGGGACACAGATTCCACGGAAGGGCCACAGATTCCATGGAAGGGAAGCAGATCCAGCCATCCCAAGGGCTGCCCCTCTGGGAGGAGGCCAAAGGCAACTCCAGCTCCAAAGGGCTGGGCTGGCACTGTGCATTGAGTGTGACTGCACTGTAGGAATAGGAAAGCCATAGGAAACCCAAGTCTGTTTAAGACTGTGATTTTGCATTTTCAGCTTCCCCATATATTTTAATGAAAGACAAACAGAATTATGGACAGTGCAAATTATTTTTCTCAAGTGAGAAAGAAAAGAGAGGATGCCAGGCTAATTTATTTGCTTTTGTTTGCATCTCTTTTTCCATGATTATCTTAACAAATGAGTTTACTAGCAGGAATGTTTGGTAAAATAATGAAGCAAATATTGTTAAATATTGTGATTATTCATAGCAGAACCTATAAGTCATGTTTCTCCAATTGGAAAAGAGAAATGTGTTGCACAACCTACATATCCATTCAAAAAGAGCTTGAATATTCAAAAAGCTCTGCTTATGAATGAATTACATAAAAATTATGCATAGATATTATTCAGCAAACAGTTTGAACATATACATCAGAAAAACTAGTTTGTTTGGAAAACTTGCAAACACATAATGGAGCAAAGAAATTATTCATTATGAATTATTTGCACAGCATCTGTCTTACTTTCTCATGTTAATTGCCTCTGCTAAACCACATTTTCACCCCCTCAGTATGTAAATTTAAATGATTTTGCATATTCTCTGAATATCCAGTAAATGCAAGTTTCATTACCTTACTGCTTACATTTTTTCTCTCTAATTGTACTGGCATTTATATAATTTTAAAATTTGACCTACCAGCTTCCTGTAGATTGCAACCTTTTCCTCTGGATTCTGATTATTGCCTAAAAAAGAAAAAAACCCCACATATTAGAAAAATTAAACCCATGAACATTGACTGCATTTGTGAAAGATCTTGTAAAGCGTTGTTAATTCCTACTGCATTTATAAAAGCTAAGGCTTGTTTTTAATCACAACACTTTAAATGTAATTATTATAAATCTAGGACATGACCCACAATTGATTGGAATTAACACAGAAAATTTTACTGACTTCTCAGAACTTAGAGCAGAACTCCTACAGAAACTGGGTGATGTATCATCATATCGTTTTGTGCTTCTACACTCTTGTGTAGAATTATTCGTTCTGCAAATACAAGCTGATACATCAGGCAGTCTGACTTCCTGTAAAAATATCTTTTTATCTCCCTGAATTTTGTGAAATTTTGGTTCTTAGACCATTGACTCATGTTGTCTCTCAAAGAAACACCATGAGAAGAAAATGTGCACATGGTATTCTATCTTTTCTTTGCCATCACTTCACACCACCAGCAGAAATAAATGTCCAAAGCTGTCTGCTCTTAGAAAATAATTGCGAGTTTAACCCTTCGGGCCTGTGAACAGAAACGACCCCCTGGCAAAATCTGTCCCCTGGGTCACTGAGAATGGGCCAGCCAAGAGAAGCCTCAGGACTGTCCCTCCTTTATCAGCACACGCTTTGGTAGAGACCTGCAGAAAGCACCCAGAAAGCCTCAGTGCTGTGCTCAGAAGCCAAGCTCTTTGAGAAGTACAAATATACACTTTGCTAATGGCATAAAACTTAATATCATATTAAGTTAATATTCCATCCTCAATGTACCACAAAATACATAATCCCTGAAATTATTGTTTCTATTTTACAGTGTTACTAAACACTGTGTTAACATGGGTAGAACTAAACATCCTTATTCATTTATTGGCTGAGGGCAGGAACCTGGCAGAATGCTTACAGGAAGTGTTTTGCAGCAGCCATTAGTTGTGACCGTGTTCACAGGGGTCCGAGGATGAGGGAAGAGACGAGGATCTGACTCCATGTTTCAGAAGGCCTGATTTATTATTTTATTATATATATTATATACTAAAAGAATACAAGAAAGGATTTCATCAGAAGGCTAGCTAAGAATAGAAAAAGAAAGAATGATAACAAAGGCTTGTGGCTTGGACAGAGAATCCAAGCCAGCTGACTGTGATTGGCCATTAATTAGAAACAACCACATGAGACCAATCACAGATGCACCTGTTGCATTCCACAGCAGCAGATAACCATTGGTTACATTTTGTTCTTGAGGCCTCTCAACTTCTCAAGAATAAAAATCTTAGGGAAAGGATTTTTCATAAAAGATGTCGATGACAATTAGCCCTTTGCCAAGGCACAGGAAGCAGATCCTACTGCCTGCACATCACTACTAAAAACTCAAGTTTTCTAGCATCCTCATGCATTAAAACATGGGAAAAGAAGTCAGGATATTGTGTTATGATACAGCATTTTCTCATCAATATGAAATTTCACTAACTTGTGCTCTACAGGTATTTGTGGGTCATAACAGAATTTCTGTCTTGAGAAGTTCCCAGTGCACCACAGAGACCTCAGCACTATTTTCTGCTGCTGATCCATCCACCCTTCTGTGCTGTAATGCACAGGCCTGGCTGTCAGATCACATCTGAAATGAGCAGCACCAATGCAATTTTGGGCCTCATCTTCAGCAACTCATTTTTTTGTAATATACCTTTAGGCTACTAAACACATCTATAGGTTTCTCCTCAGGACAGGATGTGCTGTCCTGTATGCTTTAGCAGCTCAGTGAGCTGAGCTGATTCAAATGAGCCTTGAAATGTTAAATACAACTTGTAATATCAAACGCTCTCATATCAAATAATTTTCTTCCCCTGGATCCTAGGGAGATTAAGGACTCATGCAGTGACTGAAATGTCCACTACTTACATCAAATACCCCAGCACTGGCTATATCATTATCTGCTCACTGGAGGAATGGCTAGAAAATACAACTTCTGACTTTATTTGTAAATCAAGCATTTAAGGAGCATCTATCAGGTCCATATGGCAACAGGTAAATGTGAAATGTTGAGTAACTGTGTCACAGTGTGACCAAAGCCTTCATGTACAACCCTGAGGTGATGTTTTCTTTGTAAGTGGTGTAGAAATTAATTTTTGGGTTAGAGACCAAACTAAATGCAGTAGGGCTGCACTTCAAATTTTCCTTCCTTCTGCTTATCTCAAAGCTCAGAGAAAGAAGTTGTCTCTTCTTTACTGTTTTTCTGGTTTTGCTTTCATATCTTGCAGCAGGGTTTGTTTACAGCTTGCTTACCTTCCTTTCCTTCTCAGCTGAATTAAGATGAAGTCTGGTTTGAATCATCCAAAATGCCTTCACCCAAGCCACTCCTGTGTGCTCAGTGCTACTTCTTTCCCCCACCTTTTGCTTTGTAGATGCAGGAGAGACACTTAAAGAAGGGTGCTCATTCTTCTTGACCTCCTGGGCCTGCCCTGTTTGCCAGTGCATCCCCTGTGTCCCAGTGCTGAGCCTGAGCTGGGTCTCCTGCCCTAATTCTGGCACCTTCTCACTGACACACATTTTTGTGCTATAATTAACTTAATTATCATATCATAAAGCAGCAGCATGATTTCGATCTATGCACTTCATGGTAGCCTTATAAAAACCAAATGTTTTGAAAGGTAATTAGTAAGGAACTCAGTGTGGAAACCAGGAGGTTGTGTTTTCCAGGACTGGCATTCTCATTGTAAATGCAGTCACACACAGGATCAAATGGCTCTGGAGATGCTGCTTGAAAAACTCTGAGAATGGCAATAGACTATAAGTGGGAAGACCTCAGTGTTGCAAACAATTAAAAGAATTATATTAGCATATAGAAAATAACCCTTTCTAAATCACATTTATTTCAGGAGGAAATGTGGAGCCTTGATACCTCTGTGGAACAACTGCTAACTGCATAATGACAGTCACAGCATACAGAAATGAGTAGGGAGTACTTTCATGGAAAGCATATTGTCATTTTCCTTGCACTGAAAGTCAAAGGCAATTAAAACATAATTTAATTAGAGAATATCTTATCAGCTGTAAAAAGTAAAATTGATTGATATGCAGTGTAGGGATAACTTGGCTGCTGCTATTTGTAAAGTGATGCTGAGGCTGACAAATTAGTCACTTGGTTTTTTTATTTGATAATTTCATGTATTTTTATATTTTCTTTCACCACTGAAAGCATTTAATTAGCTAATGTTTGATTGCTCATTGTTTGGAAATGGAAAATGTTACAACTGCATTGTGATTTGAAGAGTTGTTGGCCTTGAGATTAAGCATCTTGCATGACTACATCCTGCTCTCTCATTACTAAAAATATTTATCTGATAATAGGATTTTTCCTATGATTATTTTTGTCTGTGTTACCATCCAATAAGATGTTTTAGTCTCCAGCTTAAACATCACATGAAGCTGGAAGCAGGTCAGCATAGCTGAGAGCAGCTCCACACGAGTGAGCAATCCCCTCACTTGGAAGAATCCGTATCACTGACCCAAGGGCTGGATTTGGCCAGGCTAGGAGGAGCCAGTCAGGAGGGATGAGCACTGACAAACCAGCAAACCTGTTTCTATTTTTAATAAGCCACAATACAAAAGGGATAGCCAATTTATTTGTGTTGTTTGAAGCATCCCTCTTCCATTCATTAAACCCAAAATTTGTCCTCAGTCATTTCTTCAGTAATGAGCTGAAGGGTGGCTAGAGTTAATAAATATTAACAAAATATCCAGGTGTCCTTTTCTGTTAATTATATTCTTAAGAAGAGGGAGAGTTGATTACATGGCCTCATGTTTTTTGGCTATTTCTAATATTTCTCTTCTGCTAAGAGAATACAAGCAGACTAATGTCCATATGGATTCCAAATTAATGCATTACTTCCCTCAGAATGAGCACTTCTACAAGAAAATTCTAGGGTACTTTCAAAGGACTAGTAAATAAATTCATTAAATAATTTAAATTAAATCATAAATTAAATTAGTAATTTAAATTAAATTCAACACTTGACTAAAACCAGATGCCAGTGCTTTAGGGGTGGAGTTCCTGAACTCTGTAATGTCTCTGTCCATAGAACTTCTACTGCATTTGTACAGATTAACGGGGTAAAGAGATTAATCTTTGCTTGACTAAAACAATACCTTCAAGTAAGATTTGTTGTTGTTGTTGATCTTTGTGTGTGGTTTTTGGTCTGTTTTCTTTTTAAAGGTTTCAGGTCAGTTTGGTTTTTTTTCTATATACGAATCCATTCTTCTTGAGTCTACCAAAATCTTTTTGGAGTGTGGCAGCAGTGGCTTTTCCCTGCCAGGAAAATCTCCATAGGGGCATTTATTCCTGTGAAGCCCAGTTTTCTATGTGGGCTAACTTCTTTCTGAGTGGAGGCCCACAACAATTGAATATGATTAATAAGGTAATTTCTGCTTTGCTCAAAGAAAGGATATCAGTGCACGTGTACACCTTTTTATATTAGAATCAATTTCAGAGGATAGGTTTTCATATTAAATAGGTTATGAATAAGAATGGTCTCATTTAGATGCAAGAAAATATACAGAATTCTGTATAAATATTCTAACAGTCTGAGAAGGGAAAATAATTTGAAGAAGTAACTCATTAGGTCTGATTTCACAGCGATACATTTAATTAAAAAAAACAACTAAATCAATTAGTTGTTTCTCAGATTGTTGGAGACAACTGCTCTCAGGTCTATCAAGTGTTATATATATATAAGTACAAAAGATATATAACAGATATCATAATAATGCAATTGCTTCTATGTGAACTGGTGTTTAGGAGCTGGTTGAAAAAGATTATTTCATTCTAAAAAATCACCCAAAAAGCTGCAAAAAACCAGCACCATGTTACTGAAGACTCATAAGTACACTGCTAGAGATGTATATTACCTATACAGTCTACTACAGTTGAAAATGTCCCTGCTCAGGGCAGGGGTTGGCCTTAGATGACCTTTAAAGGTCTCCTCCC